CGGGTAAAGATTTTCAAAGTAGGTATTGATGATGTTTTGAATTTCTATAGGATTTGTAGTGATTTCACTCTTTTTATTCCTTATTGCACAAATTTGAGTTTTTTCTTTTCTGTTTTTGATAAGGTTGGTTAGGAGTTTATGAATTTTATTTATTCTTTCAAAGAACCAACTCTTTGATTCATTAATTTTTTGTAGTGTTTTCTTCATCTCAATTGCATTAATTTGTGCCTTGATCTTTTTAATTTCCTCCCTTCTTTAGGCTTTGGGCTTGACTTGTCCTTCTTTTTCTAAAAGTTTGAGGTGCAGCATTAGGCTGTTTGTTCTTCTTCTGTTTTCCTGATTTGTGAGTTCACTGTTATAAACTTCCCCCTGAGGTCTGCTTTCAGTGCATCCCATAGATTCTGGTAAACTGTACTTACATTTTCCTTCTACCCTACAACAGAATAGCAGCACATTAAACATTCTCCAAAATAGACCACATACTAGTCTACAGAATCTGCTCAAATAAATTGAAAAGAATAAAAATTACTCCAGTTTTACTATCAGATTTTAGTGTGTTGACATTAGAAATCAATCACAAAGAAATCACAAAAAAAATTATAAATGCCTGGAAACTTAAAAACACTACTGGACACGCAATGGGTCAAAGAAAAAAATCAAGGAAAAAATTAAATAATTTCTGGATTCAAAAGACAATGCCATTACAACACAATAAAACCTGTGGGACACAATGAAAACAATCCTCAGGAGGAAATTTATTACAGTTAATGTTCAGATTAGAAAACCAGAGTGAGCTTAAATAAATAACCTAAAGATGAACTGACAAAACTAAGAAAGAAAAAAGAATCCCAAGCAAAACATAGTATAGAGAAGAAAATCATAAATATCAGAACAGAAATTAATGAAACAGACTAAAGGGAGTTATAATACCAACACTTCTCAAACTCTTAATGAAATTGAAAAGGAAGGAGTATTCCCAACTCATTTCTGAAAGCTAGCATCACTCTGATCCCCAAACTAGTCAAAGACCCAATTTAAAAAGAAAAATATAGGCCAATCTTCTTCATGAGTATACATGTAAAAATCCTCAATAAGATATTGGCAAATAAAATGCAACAAATTATAAAGATCATACATCATGATCAAGGAAGTTTCACCCTAGGGATGCAAGGATATTTCAGTATAATCAAATCAATAGATGTAGTACCTCACACAAACAGAAGCAAGGACAAAAACCACATGGTTATATCAATAGATGCGGAAAAAAATTTTGACAAATACAATATTCCCTCGTGATAAACAAACAAAACAAAACAAAACCTGAAGACAATGGATCTTCTCTCAATGTGATAAAAGGCATTGAGGCCAGCCTGGGTTACAAAGTGAGTTCAATGCCTGCCTGAACTGCATAGCAAAACCCTGTCTCAAAAGGAAAAAAAAAATTCCAAATATCAATCGAGCATTTATTAAATGCTGAGCACTTCGCATAGATTCTCTCATTTAATTCTCCTAATCACACAATGAGGTAGACAGTATTTGCATCATTTTACAGATGAGGAAATAAAAGCTCAGAGAGGTTAAATAATGTACCCAAGACTACACAAGATTAAGAAGCAGTCAGGGAAAAAAAAAAAAAAAGAAGCAGTCAGGAGCTAAACTCAAATATGTAGTCCTAAACTAGAGTTTAACCGGTATACAGCCCAGCTTCCCTGGGATGACTCGCTACTGCTTGCCTATGTTTTAATTTCACAGGGAGTTTATGCTTAGTCTAGGAGATACAGGCAGGCCCTGCCAAACACTTTCTGTGCTGCTTCTCTGCAGCAAAGTTCGTTAAGGCAGCTAACGAGTCGACTCCATCGGTACACGCTCAGGCCGCAGGGAGCTAAATCTGAAGCTGTACTCTGCCGCGCTGGGGTTCACAATCTCAGCATTCAGCCCGTCCCTGTTACATTTCCGGTGGCCCCACCCCAGATTTTTGGCAGTTTAAAGGCTCAGCCCCAAAGGGAAGAAGGAGAGGCTTGTGACCCCTGGGGGAAGCCAGTTCTCCCGGCGATGGACCCACCCCACCCCATCTTACACCGCACGGGGAGAAAATGGTCCTCTGAGGGGCGAATTATGCTCAAAGACTTAAAAGGAGTTACTTTCAGTTCGACGTTACAGGATTTATCACATAAAGCATACAGCAGTAATGTCTGAGTCCGCGGAAAAACTCAGAGAAATCCCACAACTGCGTGAGCCGGGGATTCGAAAAGAGGCCTATCCCGCCCCTTCAGGTCTGTGGCCCCACCCCGCCCCCCGGTTCAGGGCCCCGCCCCCGCAGGGAAAGGAGCCTCAGCCAATCAGGAAGCCGCGCCCGCCGGCCGCGACGTGCCCCGCCCCTCAAGCGCGGGATTCAAACTCCCGGAAGCCGGAGCGCGGCGGAGGGTGTGGAGTTGCCGACCGTAGCGCAGCGTTTCGCCGGATTGCGGACTGGCCTGCTGGGTGGCGCAGCTGCGGAGGCTGGCAGCTGAGCGTCCAGTGTCGGCTGCGGCCTGGCGGTACCGGGCCAGACCGCGCGAACCAAGCTCAGTGGGCAGGTCGCCCCGACACATGCCCCTTTCCCGGACGCTCGCTTCATGCCTGGCACCCTGCTGGACGCTTTTCCTTGGTTGTCTCTTCAGTTCCTCCTTTTGACTTTGCGGTGCGTATTATTATCTACCTAAACAGAGGCAAGTGATTGGGCTAAGGTCTTTTTTTTTTTTTTCTTAGTCTTTTTGAGACAGGGTCTTGCTATGCAGTTCAGGCTGACCTTTAGCTCACTTTGTAGCCCAGGCTGGCCTCTAACAAGCAACGATCCTCCTGCCTCAGCCTCCCGAGTGCTGGGATTACAGGCGTGTGCCACCACGCCCGGCTTGGGCTAAAGTCTTTCGTCAGCATTAGCATGCGTTATTTCTTATCCCTTCTACCAATGTCGTTTTTACAGGTGAGAAAACTAGTGCTTCTTTTTGCAGTTTGTCTTTCGCTGTCTCGGCCCGCCTGAGATCTTACTTAGGTTAAGGGTTTTGTAACGTGCCTCCCCTTGTCGGGAGGCCTGTGGTCGATGCCCTGCGCACTTTACGGGATTGGAACGCACCTTTGGTTGCCTCTGCCCACTGTGACTTGAGTCTCTTCAGCCAGTCAATACATGGTTTCTGAGCTCTGCGAATTACGGAAAACTCCAAAGTGCAGCCTCTGAAACAATCGTTGGCTGACTGGAAAAAAAATAAAACGTTGAGGGTCGGTATAATTTATTACCAGTTTGGAGGGGGCGATGTATCTCTTCTTAGAGTTCACAGAGGGAGGGCTTCTTTTTTAGACTAGCTTTGAACTAACTGGGTAGCCCGAACTGGCCTTGAACTTGCGGTGGTACTCCTGCCTTGCCTCCCAAGTGCTGAGATTACAGTGGTGCACCACCACGCCAGCTGGGAGGGCTTCTCGAAGATGGCTAAGGTAAGGGGTACGGGGTAAGGTAAGGTCCGAAAGGGGAACTCTATGGCTGGCTCGCATACCAAATACAGGGAAAAGCGGTTGGTAGGACTAGGTGTTGGGCGGAGGCTAGAAACAGTAGCCCTTCAGCGCAAGCGTTTCTAAAGGTTTGGAAGCAAATCCCCTGAGTTATTTTAAGTGCTGCTGATCTGTATTTCCACCGTTTTGTCTCTCTCAGTGACTTGCTAGTTTACTGCCTTGTCAACCCAGTATATCAGGTCCACAATGTGAGACTATCAAGCACATAAGAAGGAACTTACAACAGATTCCTGAGACACCTTGCATTTGCCTCAGCAGATTTACTAGCTACCTTAATCTTTGACCTTACAATAGGGACAAATATAGGGCATGGTTTGACACATGGTTTGTTCAACTCAGTCTGCACAGTTCTAGTATTTTTGAAGTTTTCTGACTGAACACAGGACAACCTTTGCAAGTCACTTCTCCACCACCTCAAGTTATTGTCCCATTTTTACTGGTATCTTTATCACTACTGTTTATTTCCTATAGGGTATTTATTACAATTTGAGAAACCACAAATCTGTTTCCTTGTTATTGCCTGTCTCCTTTACTACACTGAGGTCAAGGAACATACCCCTCACCTCCCCCAGTACTGGGGATAAAACTCAGGGCCTTGAGCATGCTGGGCAAACACTCTTCCACCGAGTTACACACCAGTCCTTTATTTTTTATTCTGAGACAGACTTGCTGAGGTGTCCAGGCTGGCCTTCAACTTGTGATCCCCCTGCCCCAGCCTCCCAAGTAGCTGGGATTACAGGTTTAGTTTTTGTTAACCAGTTTATACCCAGTACCTTTTAGCGTTCTTGGTAAATAGTATGAATCCATTAATAGCATCTTACCATCCAGATTCTTTAATCACACCACCATCATTTTATCTCAGGATGCAAGGTAAAAATGCTATTTTAACTTCTCTAATGAGAGCTACCTTTATATACTATTCACTACTTTATATACTATATGCAGTACATTTTTACTATATGATTACCTGCAGAGTTTGTATTATACACTTGCTTCTAAACTGTCATCTAGTACTGTTAGCAGGCACTAAGCTTCTCCTTATTTAATTTGGCCTCTTCTTAATTTAATTCATTCCCCAATCCCCTATACATTGTGGCTCTTTTTCTCCAACATTGTGAATGAAAGGAAACTGCTCAAAAGTAAAAAACAACTGGGATGAGGGAAAAGAGGAAAGAAAGAAGGGGAAATTATGTGTATATGTATATACATGATAGCTAACGTAGTTGTACTACTTTTATCACTTTATTGAAAGGAACAGTAAATGATTAATTATTTGATCAATCTTGCATGTCTATATTTTTTTTCCTGAGTAACCACTTTGAAGATATCAATATGTAATACAACAACCATTATTAATTTCCTGTCACTTTGTCTGTAACTCAGTATTGCTTGTATTGTTCTTGTTCTATTTTGTAAATGGATGTCTGTTTATTAATATGTTCTTTTATTTTTAAAATTAAAAGAAAAGATTTACCTTATTTCCTCCCATTGTCTTCTCTCAAATGACTATTAAGATAAAGCTGAATTAGGCATATCTTCTAAAACAGAGGACATACCATTATACTTGGTAATGAATTTCAATGCCAGTAGACTCAGATTACTTACCACCAGCTTTTTATTCTTGAATATGTCTTTGATTTTGATCTACTTCTTTCAGGCCTTATCTATTTTCACTTCTCTGTTGTATTTTAAACAGAAAATTTTTACTAAACTATTACATACATACAGAACTCTACACAATAGATAATGCAAGACATGTTTCTCAAATGCAGATAATACTCATGTATTCACCATCTGAGATTTTTTTGTTGTTGTTCTTTTATGGTACTGGGACACTGAGCTACATCCCCATCCCTTTTTATTTTGAGACAGGGTTTCACTAAGTTGTTCATACTGGCCTTGAATTTTTGATCCTCCTGGTTTAGCCTCCTGTACAGCTGGGATTAGAGGTGTGTTCCACCATGCCTGGCCCAACATGAAATTTTTTAAAAGGTGTTACAGCACCCTAGAATCTTTCCTCACTCTTCTGCAGCCCAGTGATTTGAATGTATCAGTTCCATTTAGAATAGAATCAGTTATTAGGCCTATTTCAAACCTAAGGTTTAAAATTTTAAACTCACATTTAAAATACAGTTGATTTTTATTTTTACAGACCATTTCAGAGATGTCTTCCAGAAGTCCTAAAGATTTAATTAAGAGTAAGTGGGGATCAAAGCCTAGTAACACCAAATCAGAAACTGCATTAGAGAAACTGAAAGTAGCAGTGGATGAACTTACAAGTGGAAAAGGAAAATTTACTGAAAAAGAGAGACGCAGACTTTTGGAGGTAAATGATCTTTGTAACCTTTTAAATTGAAGGAAGCTTTCTTAGAAAACAATGTGTTTTTCTGGATGCTGCTTCTTACTCTTGTCATTATCCTTGTCCTATTTAGTTCATTACTTTGGGAAAGTGGAACTTAGACTTGGAATGCTAAATTCCTACTTTTTCTTTGCGAACTTTTAGGTGTACTTTAGCTACTACTAACTTTTCTCACTTTTTAAATATAATTGATAAATATAATATATGTGTTTTAAGGTTCTCAGATACTAAGGTTTTTTTCAGAAATGAATACATCTTAGCAAAGTGTGGTGGTGGTGCACAGCTCTAATTTCAGCTACTTGGGAGGCTGAGACTAGAAGATTTTAAGTTTGAAGGCAGCCTACACAATTAAGAAGCCTCTGTCTCAAAATATTAAAAAGGCAGGGAATATAGTTTAGGCATAGAGTACACCTGGGTTAGATCCCTAGTACCAAAAAAGAAAAAGAAAAGTAGGGGGAGAAATGAAGGAAAGAAAAGAAATCCATCCTGATTAATAGTTCTATACCTTCAACACAATACTACAGTCTGTTTTTCAGTTATTTAAAATAATAATGCAATTCATTATTCCTCCTATACCTTTTTGATAACTTAGCTTCATTACTTGAATATTACCGATAAATTCTGCTGTGCCATGTCATAGTCTGGTTTTTATTGCTGTACCAATGCCTCAGACTGGCTAAATTAAAAAGAAAAGAGATTAACTCGGCTTTTGATTCTGGAGGCTGCTGCCTCTGTTGCGGATCATCAAGCTGTGTCACAGCGTGGTGGAAGGGCCAGCCCACACATGGGTTGGGGACAGAGACACAGAGAAGCAAGGAGGCAGGCAGGGAATGTATCAGTGGTTATGTTCGCTTTTACAATAGCCCACTCATAAGAACTGACCCAATCTCATAATAAATCACATCAACCCATTCACAAGTTACCTCTTACTAGGCCCCCTTTTCCAGCATTGCATTGATGATTAAGGGAATTGGGAGGGACACCTTCAAACCACCGCATGCTCTATTTAAAATCCTATAACAGGGGCTGGGGATTTAGCTCAGCGGCAAAAAGCGCCTGCCTGGCAAGCGCAAGGTCGTGAGTTCAGTTCCCAGTACCGGAGAAAAACCAAAAAAAAAAAAAAAAAAAAATCCTATAACATACTGATTTAGCATTTTCACTGTTTTTTATTTACTGCATAATTTAGCAGCGTTGGAGCTGGGGATATAGCTCAGTGGCACAAGCACCTGCCTGGCAAGCACAACATGATTCAATCCCCGGTACCGAAAAAAAAAAAAGTTCTATTTCTGACCTTTTTGCAATACTATAATATTCCTATGTATACTTTAATGAGACTGTGCCATTCTTAAATCTTTTTTTTACTGTAGGGGAGAAGAAAGTATTTAGCTAGTAATTATATAATATAATTTTTCTGTTCACTAAATGTAAAAAATTACATGTATCTACTTAAGATACCTTAAATCCTTTACCCACTTCAGGTTTTTTTGTAACCATCTCAGAGTGTAAAAGAGTGTTTGCATGTCCTTATAAATGTTTAAAAACCCGTTATATCATGCATGTTGGCTGCTTTCCAAGTAACCTTTATTTTCAGGCTTTTTTGAGGTAAAATGATTTTATGTATTAGTATTTTGCATGCTCAAGCTGTTTCGGATCTCCTGATTTACAATTTTTTATGGTATAATTAGTAAAGAAATTAGGAAATTATTAGAACTAGAAAGGTTTAAAATTTCAATCATAAATTTGGTTTTCATTTATTTTGCAAAAATGCTTTTATTGTTCATAAAGGGTATCATAGATTTCCTTAAATTCCATTTATAGGAACATCATAAAGTGGAATGATTTATTATTTTAATGACCTGAATTAAAATACTTATTTAAGCACTGAGCATAAAAGTTATTTTGCAACCTGTTAAAGAAATCTTACAGATTTCCTGAGAGACAACTTTCTAATTCATTCCACCTTCCACAAGCATTGTGTGCTTTGTTCCTTTATAACTGATTGAAACTAAACTTATAATTTCTGCCCATTTAGTCTAATTGCACCCCCTAGAGCTACACAGAACAAGTTTATTTCTCATCCAGTTGACAGTTTCTCAGATATTTGAGGAAATCTTGCTTCCTGTTGTAAACTTCATATTCTCTGGCACTTTGTCTTCAGCACTTTGTGGTTTGTCTTTTATCCTTCCTAAACTGTACACCCAACATTGAACACTGCTCCACAAACTGTACGGCTCTGTAGCTATATTGTACTACTGATTTGATTCAAGCTTGTAGCCAATTAAACTCCCCTTTTCATTTTTCATATTAACAGTCATCCACCTAAACTTTAAATTCTCCATTATTATTTGGACTGTTTTTTTTCCTTCCCTAAGATTTAGCTTATATTCTTTTGACTCTGTTAGCCTCGTCATTCTGATCATTATTTCTGATGTCATCCTTTTGGCTCTATTTCCCTCATGCCAAAAGCAGCGTAACAAGCATTACTTACCTATCTTGAAAATCTTGGAGAAATGTTAGCATTACCTTTCATGTACCATACCCAATCATTTATCAACAAGAAGAGGTTACTGAGTGCATCTTTATCCTGCTGTAACATTCTGTACATTTTAACCTCTGTTGGTTCAAGCTCACTAAAGAACATGTATATCATGTAGGACTCATTTTTAACATTTAGATTTATAAGATGCAATATGACGGAGGGAAGATTCTCAAATACTTGTATGAGAAGCAGACTTCTTTAGCTTTCTGTCTCTACCCTTGATAGAGGCAGTTTCTCCTTTCTCTGTGTCTCTGACCATTCAGTGTGGATATATGCATGTGAGTTGAATCTATATTACATTAATATATTGGCTTCTTTTTCTCTCTGAGCTGTCTGATCACAGAAGTTGGCTTCATCTTTTAGGCTGTGGTTTCTTGAAACCAACATGATGTCAAATAAACATTCCATAAATGTTTTCTGAAGTATATTGTTTAGCTGGATGTTTGGCCTGGCTTTGTTCTAAGAGTTGTCTTAGTTTATATCTAGAAAATTCAAGTTCTTCAAGCTGAAAGGGAGAAAAATGCTTATCAGCTCACAGAGAAGGAAAAAGAAATACAGCGACTCAGAGACCAGCTGAAGGCCAGATACAGTACCACTGCCTTGCTGGAACAGTTGGAAGAGAAAACGAAGGAAGGTGACAGAATGGAACAGTTGTTGAAATCCTTATCTGAAGAGACAGATTCATTGAAGAAACAATTATCTGCTTCAATGGAAAGACTTGGTGAATTTGAAAACCAAGCTAGTGCACTTCATTTATCACAGGTACTAATAGTTTCTTCAGACTCAGATTTTTTTCTTTCTAACCCAATTTACAATTCTTGTGAAGAATGAGTTTGTCAAAGCATGTTTGCCAAATGATGAGATAATGTATTAAACTTACAAGTAACATTTTTGTTTGTTTTGCCCAGTCCCTTTTCCATAAGCAAAAATAATTAGTGTGGTTCCCTCCAATCCTACACCACTGTTTTTAACCAAAGGACTATTTAGAATGCAGAGTCTACTTTATATCTACAACAGCCACAATTTGTTGAACTCCTATTTCTCATTTGTGTTATTAGGACACTCGGCTTTTGGGGTTATGTTTTATATTTTAAATACATAAGTACAATATCAAATATATGTTTCTTAGCTGTACATACATCACCTCCCTCCAACAAAAGTTTGAGAGGCACTAGTGTAGCAGAGTGCAAAGCTTTGGAGGTAAAAGATAGATCTGGGTCCAGGTCTTGGTTTTGCCATGTGGTAGCTGTGTAACTGTGAATTCTTTAACCTCCAGCCTTAGAGGCAACCCTAGGGTTCACCAGACCTCCTTTCTTGAACCTCAGTTTCCACGTCTGTAAGATCTGGATAAGAATACTAATGAGTGAGCATGATAATATTTGTTAAGTGACCTAGCATAATGTCTGGCACATACTGAATAGTCCATGAATGGTTACTTATTGATCAGTCTTTGATTCTGTTGGATATTTGGACATTTGAATAATAGCAACACGACTATTAATACCTGTAAAATATAATCTGGGCCTTCCAAATATAATGTGTTAATGTTGTTAAAGGTCTGTCTTTATACTTTCTATCCCCTTTGGGGTATGCACAGTAATCAGTAATCAGATCTGTACATTTATGTGTACTTCCATAAATGGGCAATTAAATGTTTCTATGGATGAGTGAAAAAAAAAAGGTAAAGATTTTCTGGAGAATTTCCATAGAGCTGAAACTCATAAAACATTAGAGTCAGATCCAAAGTGGTTAACTAAAATATTCATTTGAAGTTCAAGGATTAGTTTCTCTGCTTTTAATATGAATTATAAATCTTAGTAGAAAGTGAAATTTTTAAAGATGAATTCATATATTTTTTGTGGGCTTTCTGTTGCTCGTTGCATGACCAACTGCTATAACAAACCACCTTCAAATCTCAGCATCTTAACACAAGAACTGCAGATTTTTCCTCACATCACAGTCTGGTGCTGGTTGGGTGGAGGAAACACTGCTCTACAGAGCCAGAGAGCCAGGTTCCCCTACTCTGGCAGCTCCACCGTCCTTAGGGTAGAGTCTTCACTAGATGCCCTGTGTACTAGAACTGGTACATGTTACCTCTGCTCACACTCCATTAGACAGAAGTCAGGCACAGAGCTCCACTGCCTCAGAGAAAGCTAGGAAACAGTCTGCGGTGTGTCTGAGGAGGCGCAGGGGTCAGGGGAGGGAAGAAGGTGATGTTTAATGAAATCTCTGCGTGCTTTCTACCTGGAGGACTAAATGGAGAGAAAGGGCTATGTATTAGGTTGAGTGAAGAAAGTCTTTTTGGAGAAAAAAAATACTGTGGACTTTCTTGGCAGCAGTCAAATAAATCTCTTTCCTTACAGCTGATTTAAAAAAAAAAACAAAAACTGAAAAACAGCCTTTTCTGAATTTGTTGGCCAGCCTGGGTACATAGCTACCTACTTCCCTTTTATTTTTTCCCATGAGAAAATGAAGCAAAACAGAAGATAAATTATGGTTTGCATTCCATATAATCTACATGAACTAATACTTTTACAGGTTGAGCATCCTAATCCAAATGCTCTAAAATAGAAAATATAAATGAATTGCATGTTTAGATTTGAGTCCCTTCTCCAAGATACATCATTATATACATGCAGATATCCAAACTCAAATACAAAACGATTCTGGTCCAAACAGTTTTAGGTAGATATTCAACTTATACAAAATACAATTCCAAGGAAAAACCCTATTTATTTTTTGTTTTACAATTTATATTTTCCAGATTTCATTGAAATAGCCCAGTTGTTTGGTTTGGCTCCTTTAGTTAAAAACCACTGGGTTCTTCTTATGTACCAACCACTATTCTGGTGATCCTGGGTCCACATGATCTTAGAAGTCAGGTTAGATCTGAAATCTCAGAGTTTCCAGTTTGGTTGGGAACCTTCCAGGAGACCTGAATTCTGACAGTGGTCTTCTGGTAGCTGTCACGTGTGCCAGATCTGGATTTGGGACTTTTCCTCAGAACATATTGTATCTTTAAGGAATAAAGTATAATAAGGAAATTTCTAATGTTAAATGTATGATATTAACTAATCCTTGGTTATTTACAGACTGTGGCTGCAAGCACACCAATGAATAATGCTCATGAGTTGGAAATACAACTGAAAGATGTAAGTTTACTTTTTTCTTACAGTATAAGTGAAGATGGCTAGTTTATTCTTAAATTTCATGGAAGTTGCTAGCATTAGTACTGTGTCTTGAAAAACAATCTAGCCAGGGATATAGCTCAGCAGCATAAGCACTTGCTTGGCAAGCCTGAGGTCATGAGTTCAATTTCTGGTACCAAAAAAAAAAGAAAAGATAAAGAAAAACAGTCTAGTAATGAGACAAGAATTGAATGTTTTGTGGTCATTATATGAGTCTCTTGAATTAAGAGGACCATTTTCAAAACATGGTCTCTGTTGTCCAGAAAGTACTAGAAATCACCTACTATTACCAGATACCTCAACAGTATCCCTTGTTCACCTAAAGTTAATTTGCCCAGTCATTATTTTAGTATAATGTAATTTTATTTTATAGTTTTTCACTTTTTGTTTACCCATACAACATGTACCCTTTAGTTTAAAATCTTTGAAATAAAGTTATTTTAGATATATGGTAAAGCTGTGTTATTTTAAACTTAAGTCTTAGATGGAGAAGTAGGTTTTGTTGGGAATGGAATGACTCAAGCCCAGAATCGCTATTCACCATATATTTTTTTCAAATTTTTGTATTAGATTATAGTGGAAAGTTCTTGATTCAGCTATTAAGTCAGTAGGAATTTTGGTTACAGAAATGTTATTGGCCTCCCCTCTGATAAGCATGCTGTTAAGATGCTTGCTTTATGCCATCTATCAAGTGTCTCTTGATGTCTATTTGATCTTTAAGAGAAAAATTTAAATTTTCTGAGGATCTGTATGCCAGCATAACATTATATTTATCAAAGTGATTTATGTAGAGGTAGCTGAAATAAAAAGGCAACATAACTGTTAAAAAAATATTAAAATGAGTGTTCGGTGTTGTATATTACACTAAACTTCATGGTTTTATGTATGTTAGTATGTGTTAGATGTGCATATTTATGGATAATTTACCTTTTGCACCTCCTGTTTGATCCTTCTACCATGCTGGCTTTCCAGCTACTTATTGAAATCACTACCTTTTCTCTTTCTTTTCTTTATGCCTGGGACATTGTTCCTACAGATACTTTAATAAGTCCCAAATCCTACTCAGGTATTTGCTTAAATGTCATTCACCTGAAGGTTGGCAAGAACAAGGGATTCCTTGGCTATCTTGTCTAAAATGATAGCTCTCAGACAATTCCTGTTACCCCTTTCTGCTTTTGACCCCCCTCATCACATATTACTGTTAAACTTACAATCTGTTTCACTTCCTTCTCTTGTTTATTGTCCTCTTCCATTGCGATAAGTTAAATGAAGGAAGGGTTTATGCATGTTTAGTTCATTGCTGCCTCCTCAGTATCTAGAACATTTGAAAGAATGAATGGGATCTATGAAGTTTGTTGAGTTTAATTAGTGTCTCTTATAGAAAAGAACCTGAAAGTAGATACTGTTGTCTTAAACTCATACCTAATTTTTAGGCTTCTGAAAGCTAAATGTTTCAGATAACAGCTAGAGTTATTTTTAGATAATAACTATTCTTTCTGTCAAATTAACTTTGAAATATTACACTTCTGTGCCCAATCTTCTTTTTGTTCTGTTTTATCTTCCTGGCTTATTTAAGGGTCACATTGTGCTCCTCTGTTCTGTTTACCTTAGAGAGAATTTTAGTCAAATGCCGTAAAATTTAACTCGACTCACCTTCAAAAAGTTTCAGACTCAGTGTATGAATCTAGAGATCTTTTTAAAGTGCAGATCTGATTTAATAGCCCTGGAGTGAGGCCTGAGACTCTGCATTTCCATCAAGCTCCCGGGTCACGCAGCTGCTACCGCTCGTTGTGAACCACACTTGGAGCACCCTTAACTTATGTTTGAAGAGCCAGAGGTGCTTTAGCTCTGCTTTTGTTTTCCAGATCTCAGTAAATCTTTGAGTGCAGGGATAAAATTGTATTTAGAGGACTTAGGGAAAGACACATTGCACTCTTCAGTCCCCACACTGGCACTGGAACATTATTTGGCTTTTGAGATCTTAGCAATTCTGGTCCCATCACCCTCTTCAAAGTTCCCAGAAAACTTTCCGTAGAGCTTCGCCCACCTATTTTAAAAATCCCCATTTATATGTTTTTTTTAAAAAGTCTCAAAAGCCTACATATACTTTCTTAAGGCCTAATTATATCATTCCTCTGAACTGACTGACATTTTGAAACAGGTACCTGGGGTTGTTAACCCTGTAAACATAGCCAAATGTCAGTACTCTTAGTATTTAAAATCATCTGAGCACAGACTAGGTCAAGCCAAATAGCTAAAAAGTAGTTTAATACACATTTCTTGCCCTTAATTTTTAAAAAATCTAATGTGTAAACATAGAATTTAGGGATGGTAAATAGAATTTTTTTTTAATCTGGAAAAATATCAAATTAGCAGAAAAGTTCCAAGAATGAAAATGATGCCTATAACATCCCTATGCCTTTTATCAAAATTGAACCATTATTAATATGTGCTCCATTTTGCACTCTTTTTTTCTTTCCTACCGTACACACATTAATTTTCTCTGAACTGTTGGAAAATGATTTGTACATGCCCACAGTCTTTTAAGGCTACATGCTCCAGTGTGTTTTTCCTACAGGTGAGGATAATGTCTTACATAACTACAGTTCAGAAAGCAATCTCAGTAAATTTAACATGGACCTGTTTATCTATTGACTCATTATATAGCCCAGGCTGGCCTTGAACTCATGGCAATCTTCCTGCCTCAGCCTCCCGAGTGCTGGGATTACAGGTGTGCACCACCATACCTGGCCCCTAGCTAACATTTTAATCTACATTTGGACTTTTACCCAGAGAGTATTTAGTGGATCCCTGTCAAAACAGGAGGGAAAGCATGAGCAGCATTCTGGAGGACTTTAGTACTTTTGTCCATGTTCTGCATTTCTTTTTGATAACTTAGACAACAATATCAAGTGCATGCCTCACGAATGTTTAGATGACACAAATCTAGAAGGGATAATTAATGCCATCACTCTAAAGATTCAAAATTAATATTGTGTACTTATTAACAGCTATCCAGTCTATTTATTCATATTACAAAGGGAAAAGAGAAGATGTATTCAGTGGGAAGACAGGAAAAAATTTTTTGAAGTAATATTGCCATCATGTGGCCTTTTAGAATATTACCTTTAATTTTTTTTTTATTTTAAGGAGAATAAAAATAATAAAATCATTAGAAACAACACAGAATTTCCAAAAACAAGATGATAGGATTCAGCAGTGGTTGTTATATTGCATATTGTTGTCTTCAAAGTAGTTGCTCAGATTACCCGATATAGGTATGCAAGATTGATCAAACAATTAAACATTAACTGTTCTTTTCAATAAACCAATAGAAATTAGTAGTACAATTATCTTAGCTATCTTGTGTATATATATATATTTTTCCCCTTCCTCCTTTCTTTCTTTTCTTCTTTCCCTCATCCCAGTTGTTCTTTCCTTTTGAGTAGTTTCTTACCCTTTCAAAATACCTATTAACTTTTAAATCTTAAACCAACATATATTTTTGTTTCTCAGATTTCAGTAAAGTATCATGATTTCTTCTAAAAGAAAAAAAATTCAATGACTACCCAATGTTAAATTATTTGTTTTAAGACACTTCTTAAATATGGAAAAATGCAAAAATTGGTATAAATTAGATATTTTGGCATCTAACACATTATAATTTATAGGTACTGTATTTGGATATACATATACTCTTTGAGTCACAATGCTGTTTCTCTTAGCAACTAAATTTGAGCACAAACCCAAGGTTCTTGTGTGTGAAAAATACTTATACAATGAACAAGAACATCACTGGAGGTAGTGGTGGATCTGACTGAGATAAGCACTTCTGCAGACTACTGTAAAATAGGCCATAAATCTTAGCAATCTTCTCAACTACACCAAGGTCACAATGAAGTCAAGATGTGATTATTCACATTTCTTTCAGGCTGATTTTTTTTCCCAACTTTAGTTATGGAAAATTTCAAACATACACAAAAGTTGAAAGGAAGTACATCAAACAACTGTAGATCTATCACTTAAGATTCAGTGAGACACTCTTTAAACAGAACTATTCCAATGCAGATAGTCATCCATGAAACTTACATTATTGAGGATATAATACAGAATGAATGTGCAGTGTCTGCACCTGGATAAATGAACTCTGAAACCACACAAAGAAAGCTGCTGTTATAGTTTCCTTCAGGGTATAAGGAGCAGAGTATCTGAGCCTGTAGTTACAGGGCCCTGAAGTGTCTTTGCTTCCAGAAGCTGTTTCTACCATCTTAATCTGTCTCCTGACTCTACAGAAAACAGACACTGAAACTGTAAGACTCATACTGAGAAGCTTTGCTCATGAGTTTGTAGGATGCTTGTGGAGGCTCACAAACTTGGAGAAACTCTCTAGACCGATGAGTTTGCATATATACAGACCTTTAGGGGTATTAGGCTCAGCTACCTTTGTCTTTAGAGGGTGGATGCTCTTACCAGAAAGCAGATGTCCTAATGCACAACCAAAATCTTTTAAGTTCCTTAGCTGTTCTTCATCCTATAACTAGAGGTCTAGGCTATCATCAAAGGAAATACTATATTCTATTTTTAGATTGAAATTAAAATAGAAGAATTTTGATTGTGCATGACAGATCATTTTAAGATCGAAGGGGGGATCTGTGTAGTTCTCTAATCATTATTAGTCTAAAATCTTGAAAAATAAAGTCTGGATACTGTTATAGGTCATTGGAGTACAACTTAGGATAAGCCCTGAACTTGTAATAGGTCCCACATGATATAAATGAATCAGTTTTTGTCCCTGCTGTACAAAGTTCTTTGGGGGGGAATAAATAGTACTTACCACTTATCCAACCTTACACCTTTAGAGTGAGCCCCAGTTCATGGAGGACAGCCAATCTTTTTTGGTATGCCTACAATGGATGCAGGATGCAGGGTGGCTCTAAAAGAATTAAATGCTTTCAAAAATGCATTCCATTACATATGTTTTACTTCCTTAAAATTATACCATGCAACATTCTTGTCAAGAACTTTGTGTTTGTATCATCTCTTTCTGGCAGTCCTGAAGGATATAAAGTTACATATCATTATTGCCATGTCAACTAAGATTAATAAGGTACAACAGATCTGGAACAAATTATGCCACAGGAACTATATATTAAATACTTGTAAGATTACAGAAAAAGTTATCATGGTTCCATTACAAAGGGGTTTATATTCTCATGTATTGCTTAATCAGTGACTAACAGACCTTAACAAGTGTTTGATTCGTTTTTGACATGCTCAAAATTTATTGTTCTACTGGGTGTGCAGGGTTGCTAGATTCTTTCATGGCTTCTCTTTTCTCTAAATGCTTTCCAACTTCATCTAGGGCTAAAGGTCTTCACGCTTGCTGATCCTTGCAGCCATTGTTTCCTGCTGCATGTTGACTATTTGCAAAGATCTTTGAGCTAGGAAATGATATTTTTTTAAAATTTTTTAATTCAAAAGCAGTCTGGGCTCACCAAGATACAGCATTGCATCTCTGCTCTCACAGGCTTTGCTCCAGGTTAGACAGACCACAGTGGGCAGTGGGGGCTGAGGCTCAATACAGAGGAGCTTAGCCATTGCGAAGGAATGTTGGGCCCAGGGCACACATCATGCCTATAAATGACCTCAGGTTTGGATGTACATGTCCTCTTTGCACAAATAGTCACTGAAACTTATTTCCCTTACCTCTCACGAATGCAGAAGATGAGACAGTGCCATCTCCTGGGTTAAGCAACTAGATTAAAAGAATGAAATTGTAATCTCATTGTATGTTGGTGTTATATAAGAATTTCTAGCCTTTTTCCTCTCCTCATTAGCAGACTTTGTCTTCTTTACTTTCTTTTTGTTTTGTCTTTGAGACAGGGTCTCACTATAGTCCAAACTGGCCTTGAATTTGCTATGTAACCTAGGCTGGCTTTTCCTCCAGCCTCAGCGTCCTGAGTGCTGGGATTGCAGGATTGTACCGCCAAGCCTGCCTGTTCTCTAGCTTTTAACATGAATGTGTTGCGCTACTTACTGAAAGAGATTAAATCTAGTGATTTAAGTTTGCTTGTCCTGCAAGTAGTCACTGAGGTGGAGTTAGGAATGCAAATGGTTTATCGGGGAGCTACATCTGAAGTGAAAACGTCAGGAATGCCAGGAAGACAAGGTCTTTGTCACCCCGCAGAAACTTCAGAGCAGACTGCTCTAGAGTGGAGTCTCATATGCAGTGGAAATTGCTTATCTCTGCATTGCTTTGGCTAGGGCCATGCAGCTCACCCCAAAGTAGAGCGATTTGAAGGCAGTAACAGTGGGAACAGCTACCTGCAGCTGGGAAGGGCTCTTGCTTAGAGTGGGATCTGAACAGCTCATTTCCACCCATGTCAGAAAGGCCTTCTATTTACAGAGTGACATCTACACAGACACAAAACAAGTTATCTGTAGGAGGCAGCAAACAAACCCAATCCCACATAAACTATGACTTTGCCATGCTGTCTGTATTCTAAATATGTGTCATGTACAATGGTTGCCCATAATTATTCTGTAAACTATAAGTTTTAATGTGTTGGAAGAGACATCACTTAGAGTTCCTTGTTCATTTTAAGATTTTTGGTTTTATTATATTATCTTTTTCATCTTCACTGCAAGGCTCTGGAGAAAAATCAGCAGTGGCTTGTGTACGATCAGCAGCGAGAGGCCTTCGTTAAGGGACTGTTAGCAAAGATCTTTGAGCTGGAAAAGAAAACAGAAACATCTGTTCCTTCACTCCTACAGCAGACGAAAAAGACTGAATCAGAAGGTACTGATTGGTACAAAAGTGTTCTTTTGGGATAGGACTGACATTTTCCCAAGGGAATGACTCATCAAATTTATATTTTTTATAGATGTGTTATAAAGTAAAATAAGAGGAAATCTTCTAAGCTTGAAATAAGAATTACCATTTTGCAAGTGTGTCTAATCTCTTAATGTTTTCAGATATAAGGAGGACACATGTCACAGATTAGAGGTCATCATGGAACTTCCTCCACCCATGTCCTTCCTGTCCTTTAAAGATCTGCCCCACTGTTATTTCCCCATAGATGGTCTTGTTATCACTTACCTTTTTACTTTTCTTCTCTTCAGCCTTTACTCATATCAACTGCAGGAGAAAGAATATATGTTTTGGGTTTTTTGTCTTTTTAATTTTGAGACAGGGTCTTGTGATCCTTCTGCCTCAGCCTCCTGAGTATCTGGGATTACAGATATGCACTACCATGCCTCTCTAAGGATACATTTTATACATGATTCTTCAATCATTTGAACCTCGCCATGGACTTGAGATGATGTTTCTTACTCATACTGCTGTCTTTTGGCCTAGTGCTTTGCAGTTTCTGTAACATTGATCTCACTTGAGATTGACAGTAATTCTAAGAGGTAGTGTAGGCAGAGTCCAAATAATTAGGCTCATTTTACTGGTGAAGAAATAGACTTAGCGGTTCCAAGTGACAAACTGTTCAAAAAAAGAGAAACCTTCAAGCAAAGGGCTACTTATAAGACTGGCAGCCCTACGGGGACAGCCGCCTTGAATTCTGTAAAGACACATCTAAAGTGAGGAGCCCTCCTCATCATCTGCAGTATCATGCTTGATCATTTGAAACAAAGCTAATACTAAAAAGAAATATAAAGGGAATCTTTCTGGAGATAATTATAAGCTATGTATCTCTAGTGGGACAGAGTTACTACTGTAGTAGTGTTATATATTTACTATATGTAAAAGAATTTTCATTACAGGCTAAGTATAATTTTTTTTCTTTGGTAATATAATGCAATTTCCCTCTTACCCTCCTCCTTTTCTTTCCTTTCCCCTCATGTTTTCTCAAAGTAACATAGGAACTTACAGACTCCTACCCTTCCTTTCCTATCCCATCTTAACACTTCTACCGTTAATTTTGCTAATTATCTCCAGGTGCTTTCTGATACATCTTTAGGAATTAGGAACTTTCTCTCCCCATGAAGTAGTTAGATGATTTTTTGTTGTTGTTTTGTGTGTTTTGTGAATTCAGTAATGTGCCCAAACTTCTGTTTCTTAATCTACCACGTATCAATCATACTACCACCACCCTAGTCTTCACTTTGTAAGCTGAAAAAGTTGTTTGATTTCATTTAAAGAAACGTGTTTAAAGTTTAACTTCTCATAAATGCCATCAATTTCATAAAATAAAATTTCGTTATATGAGTTGTGCCATAATATTGTTTGTCGTAGGTGATCTCCAAGAAGAGAAGCAAAAATATTACAGCCACCTCTTGGCAAATGCCAAAAGGGATCTTGAGGTTGAAAGACAAACCATAACTCAGTTGAGTCTGGAACTTAATGAATTTCAGAAAAAATATGAAGAAGCCCAGAAAAAAATTAAAGATTTAAATCAGCTGTTGTGTTCACAAAGAAAGGCAGAAGTACAACATCTAGAAGATGACAGGCATAAAACAGAGAGAATAGAGAGACTCAAGGAAGAGAATAATATTGCCAGGGAAAAATTTGAAGAAGAAAGGAAGCGATCTGAAGAGCTTTTGTCTCAGGTAAGCAGGTCCACGCAGGTTCTCCATAGTTCAGAAAGCAGTCTTCGTGGAGCCCTCACCTCGGGCCAGGGATTGTTTTAACCAGTAGGCAACTAGCAATGAGCAAAACAAATTTCTGACCTTCTGTGAGAATTTATAGCCTAGAAAGAACTACCTAAACAATTGAATAAACTAAAGAAAGTTAAATAGGATGATATGGTAGAGAAATGAGCGGCTCATGGAGGCCTCTGAGAGGAGGTGGTATTTGAAAAAAGATCCAAAGAACCAATGAACCAGTAATTTTCTGTGGGCATTCCCTCCTAGGAGAAAAATGTGCACACAAGGGTTCCGAGAGAGAAAGAAGTAGGTATGTGTAAGAAGCTAAAGGAAGGTGTAAAACAGTGGGAGGGATCCAGGCTGGTTTCTAGGCTGGTGTGTTGAGTGTGCTGGTACTGTGCCCAAGTGAATTCATACAGTGCCTTCCATATTCTCATTGCACGTGCAGCATTCCGCTAGGATGTCTTAGGAACGTTGGTGTTACTAAGCTAAGATGATTAGAACTGAATACTACTTTGACAAAATAATCATTAAATTTTTCTTGGCAGTGTAGAGTCCACACCCAGCCTTAGGCAAATCACCTACCTTCTCTGACTCAAAAGTTATTATTCACTGGTCAAATAAGTAGCAGCCAATATGTCCCTCATCAGGTTTTTGTAATGCAGGGTCAACTGAGAGACTATGAAGGTACTTTGAAAACTAAATAAATATCAATGTTAGCTATTGCTATTATTATAATGGTAAATTTTCAAATCCTCAGAAGTTGAGAGATCATCTTTACTACTCTTGTATGTCTTGATAGATATGAGGAGTAACTTTTGAGAAGGATCAAGCAGAAGTGATTACTTGGCTCCAACTCTGCAGCCAGGGAAACGAGGCACTGGCCACTTTGTTATCCTAGTCTGAAAGGGTAGCAGAAGTCAGAACCTCCAGAAAAGGCAGTGTGACCACTGCAGAGCTCAGCGCTGTTTGTCGGTGGTCAGTTCCTTAGCTTAGGGAGCTCTACCAGGAACCTTCTCACTTGCTTGTGCATTGGAGCAGTCAAATGACTACCTGAGTGAGTCACCCTGCCTCACACACATTGCCCTGGTTAGCGATATGCGATGTGACTTGTGTTGTATGCGTGTCATACCTCCCTGGTCAGGCAAAAAAGGGACAGGTGAGTCAACACTGGGTCCCTTTGCATCCCACAGGTCCAGCTTCTTTACACGTCTCTGGTAAAACAGCAAGAGGAACAAACAAGGATGGCTCTGTTGGAACAACAGGTATTTACTGGGATTGCTTCTAAATTCAGTTTGGCCTGTTAGAAAGTGGAATGTTTCCTTGTTTTTACACTGTTCTATTAAAGAACTGTTTGAAAGCTGTGAAAAGTATCTTGGAAAGACTTTAATAAGACACATTTCGAAAGACTGTACTAATATGTTCCTGCTACTGTCTTAGGCTAAATTAAATTCTTTGAGATATGATGGCAATATTCTTGGCCTTGGCAAATTTTGTTCTTCCCCAGTGGCTGTAGTTTCCTTTCTAACCTAACAGATTCTCTGAATAGGGCCATCTTATAACTTCAAGCAGAACTCAGAGAGTGACACCATTTATTCTCAGAATATAGGCCAAAGATTCTTAGTATATTCCAAGCCAGGAAGTAGCCATCTCTTTCCCTTCTTCCTCTCTCTCCCACAAAAAGGAGGATTAGGGAAGACTATTTCCAGCCAGCAACTTCCTAAGCTAGTCTTCACTCCCCTATACCTCAAGCCTTGGCTTTGCTTCTTGGCTAAACTGAATCCTTGCCATAAACTCCACTTATGAACATCTCCTTACGCTCAGGGGAATTCTTGTTATGATGATACAACAAATGTTTTTTTGTGCCAATAAAAAAATGCAAGCATCCAGTTAAGAGAATTAAGCAGTGTCTATCAATTGTAATTGTCTTGTTCTGGACACTTTCCAGATACAGTCATGTACTTTAGACTTTGAAAATGAAAAACTTGACCGCCAAAATATGCAGCACCAATTGCATGTAATTCTTAAGGAACTCCGAAAAGCAAGAAATCAAATAACACAGTTGGAATCCTTGGTGAGTTTGGAATGACTAACCTAAAATTTTTCTGTCTGTGTCTGCCATTTTTGCATTTATATGTAAAATCAGTTCCTAAACCAGGAGGATACAACTTAAAGAAGAGCTAGCTTGACTTCAAATCAGTAGGCAGACTCTCGCCTAACTTCAAGCACTTTCCCTTAGAGCATCAATGCAGAGTTCAGAAAGAAGGACATTATGTACCTCTTGGTAATAATTACGTCTGTGTCTGGGATCATTCCTCATTCGTCCCAGATTCTAGAGGTACTAAACAACACTACGTTTAGGAGAGAAAGGTGAGAGAGGGTGTTAGAGAATCCTGAACTAAAACAGAGAAAGAGAGAGAAAGGTTGGCTAGCTGTTTTAGAGATAGTGGGTTATTATCATTAGTAAGGTCTTAAAGAATATTATGAGTTAAACATATTGTTGGGTTGCCCTGAAAACATAGTCTTTTAAATAAGCCTTTTAAATAAAGCAATTTCTATAAGGAAATGATTTTTTACTTATTTTCATCTTACCTATAGTTTTTAGATTAAGTCTGTTAGGGTGTGTGTATCTCTCATTAGTATTTATGTCTTATAATGTCCTAGTACTGCAAAATATTTAGAGATAGTGAAGTGTTATAAATATAACTTGTGTGCAGGCACAGTGGCACATATCTGTAGTCCCAGTACTTGGAAGGCTTAGGCAGGAAGATTGTGAGTTCAAGGCCATTCTGGGCTATATAGCAAAAGCCTACCTAAATAAATAAAATAATTTGTAATTTCTATATGAATAAAAGAAAGACAATATAAATTTGGCTGTATTCTTTAGTATGTCTTTGACTTGGACCATTTGTAACAGTGATGATAGACCTTTTAAAGCTTTCAATGTTGGGCTGGGGATTTAGCTCAGCGGCAAAAGCGCCTGCCTGGCATGCGCAAGGTCGTGAGTTCGGTTCCTGGTACCGGAGAAAAAACAAAAAAACAAAAACAACAAAAAAAAAATAAAGCTTTCAATGTTAACGAACAGCCCACTGTGGCACATGTGCCATAGGTTTGCCTCCACTGATTTTTAATATGAAATTAAAGGTTAGAATCATTTCTGTTAATGGTCATTTTCAAAAGAAGCCAGAGGATATAAAAAATTTTTCAGTTTTTCTGTGCTTTTCTTTATGTTCCTATTTATAGTCCTGATAGATATTGTAAAACAGTTATTTTTGAACTTTCCTGATTACTCTAAATTCTTCAGGAGAAAGCATGAAAAAAAGAAAGTCTCAAAAGTATTATATAATGTTTCACTTATTTCTGTGTGTAGCCTATTTGATCTGTTAAAATTCTTAATTCCATGTAGTTTTTTTCATTACTGAAGATACCCCTGTTTTACAAAACTAATAAATTTAGAGAGCCTAGCACACGGGCCTGCCCTTTACATGTCACTCCAAGATTTTTAATGAAACCTGTGTACATGAACCCCCAACTTAGTACTTTCTTGGGCAATTTGAGTAATTATTTGGATAATTTATAACCACCTCATATCTTACCACCAAAATATTGATGAACAGAAATTTACAAAAAAAAACTCTGCTAGGACTGAAGCAGCTAAGGAATCTTGGAAAGTTAAAATTGGTCGACAATGAGTCTGATATACAATGGTGTTTGGTTGAAATTTATTTTTCAGAAGCAACTTCATGAGTTTCCCTTCACAGAGCCATTAGTCACTTTCCGAGGAGAGACTACAAACAAAGTAAAAGTTGCCTCGCCTAAAAGTCCCACCACTGCACTCAATGAAAGCCTGGTGGAATGCCCCAAATGCAGTGCACAGTATCCAGCCACTGAACATCGGGATCTGCTTGTCCACGTCGAGTACTGTTCACAGTAGCAAATGGTCATTTGTTTTTATGCCAGAAGATTCTATGTTGCATCTTCTGTTGCCTATGAACACTTCCAATTACATATTCCACCTCTGGCTTAAGAAACTGTTTATCTACCTTTGACACTTGGACATGCAAATGAATCATTGTATTTTTTGGCTGCTTTGCGTTTTTCTTTACAGTGATACCTCCATGAGATGGTTTCTCATCAGGCTGCAGAGACAGAATGTAGTGAGCAGTGTGCACTGGGGCTGCTAATGTTTTGCATAGTTAAAGAACTTGATAAAGAAAAGATAATTCAGGTTACTGATTGTGGGTTAAGTCTATTGTACCAGCAAAAACAAAAAAACAAAACAAAACAAAACAAATATATATATGCGTATACATATATATTATGTGGGTTTTTTAAAAATAAAAGATAATTAACTGTTGACATTTTATATCTAAGCTTTTAGTATAGCAACAATTCTAATTTTAATGACCACTGGTTCATTTTTTTCCTTGCTATTATAGAGCAGTTAACAGAAATGTTGGGAATTTTTATAATCCTTATTGCTGCTTGCTATTGAAACTGTAAACCCAGCTATATACTAAGGACAGAACTGATTCTGCTTGAGGAATACGCTTAGTAGCTCCATGCAATGTTTTCTCTCATATTGTCTGGCTGTAACTTTTAACATGAATGTCATTAGCACGCATTGTTTAGCTAAAGTGGTTAAAACTGATTTTAACAAAGCCATCTAGTCTTCTTTGATTTGGAGGTATTTCGGTTTTTTATTATTTTTGGCACTCCTACATCTGGGCAATGTAATTATTACATTTTTTCAATAGATATTTTTATACATGCTTTGCATAAACCAAAAAAAGTTTTTTAAATTCAGATTTTCTACCATGCTTAACACTGGGCTACTGTTAGCAATATAAAAGAGAAAAGAATAAAATTATTTAATAACTTTGACTATGTCTAGTGTATATGTATATACATTAGCTACTCTGAGATTTTGACCCCAAAAGGAGTGTTGAAGGTTCCAGATTAACATATACTGTAAGATGATAAGGTAGTTAAGGAAATATCAGAATCAGCAAGTCTGTGAAAGTGGCAAAAGGAGTAGAAAGATGCTTGTGGTCCTCTCTGTTGAACAGATACTAACTCTTGACCAATAAAGATGATTTTTTACTTATTCATTATACAGATAAAATAATAAACATGCTCAGTCATATTCTTGGAGGTCTTTTGATCTTAGAAATGATACAGACCTGTTATGGAAATAAAATTTTTCCTGTATTGTTAATCCCAGGTTCTTGATATCTTCAGCCACAGCTGGACAAAAGATATAGAAATACTCTTCAGTCAGGTTATTCTTGTTTTGCCCTACAATGTTATGTTGAAGACCACAGTATTTGTACCATAAGTATTAAATTATATGCCATCAGAAAGTTGTTCCCCTTATACCTTTTAAGTAGGCCAGGTATTATTTCTGGTCTGTAGACATGGGAAATGCCTCAGTCATTAACTGCAAAGTGGGGTGAGAGGTAGAGCCCAGGTCTTTGGTCCCTACCAGTGTGGATCATGGGATGACTGGCTAGGACATAACCATAGCAGAAGCTCAACCTGACAAACCCAGAATCTGATTCCTGGAGATGAAGGTGATCTGGAGCTTGTCTCAAGAGCCTCACTTTCTCTGATTCCCTGGAGGGCTGGAGTCAGGTACTTTCCCTGCCCACTTTAGCCACCAACGTCCAGGTACCAATATCAAAAATGTATTTTAAAAAAATGTCAAGAAAAATTGGGCATTTCTGCCATGAAGCTTTCTTATCATACAGGGGGTTTTATACATTTCTGATTAACAGATAGTTTAGGAAGAATTCTTTCCTGCAGCATTTATTGAAACAAGGATCAATAAAGGATATCTCTCAGACTTGAAAATCTCTACACTTCTCATAATTCAAGACCACTTTTTCTTTTCTTGTCCATCTTTTTTCACAGCAAATAACGACCTAACCTGAGTGTGTGTTTGAGTGGGGGTGGGAGTCTGTAAACCATGTACCAGAATATGGTAGATATTTCCTCTACCTGTACTCACTGTCTCTTCATTGCAATTTAAAAAAGTGCCAGAACCAGTGCTGTTTTCCAAATGAGAAAACTAAGACTTAGGGAGGTTAAACAATTTACCCAAGGTTACCACTAGTGAATGGTAAAGAAAGGATATAAATTCAGCTCAGCGTGTCTCAACTAGTTCCTCCTCTTTTTCACTGTGCTGTTGTAGTATTTCCCACCAACAAATGCTAAGTCTGCTGTGCCAGGATCGTTTCTGTTGCTTTCTTTTTTAATGTTTTACACACAATAAGTTGTACAAATCAAGGAGTTTTGACAAATGTATACATCTTTGTAGTCATCAGCCAAATACAGTTTTAGATGATTTCTATTACCATCCTTGGAGGTTTAGTTAATTCCTTTTCTAGTCCACAATCTCCTCAGACACAATCTGATTTCTAATGCCATAGATTATTTTAATGTATTCTTAAATTAATGTAAGTGGAATTATATATTTGTGTTTGGCTTCTTTGAATCATCAGTGCTTTGAGACTCTTCTATGTTGTGTGTATAAGTAATTTAGATTTTTTTATTGCTGAATAATATTTCATTATATAAATACACCATAATATAGTATTCCATTCTTTTGTTAAGGAAGATGTATATTGTTTTTTGGACAAGTTTGTTTTGCTTTTTTGTGTTTTTTTATGGCACTGGGATGGAACCAGAGCCTCATAAACACTAGGCGAGCTCGCTACACCCTAGCCCCTTAGACAAGTATTTTTGTGGACCTGTTTTTTTTCTCTTAAGGAAACACTTAGAAATGGAGTTGCTCAACCACAGATGTGTAATATTTATTTTTATTGAAAACTGTCAAAGAACTAGACTGAAGAAATTCATTTCTCCAGTGTACCTCCATGAAAAGAAACCATGTAATGTAATGGTCAACAACTTTGCCATAAACATAGCAGTGAGTTCCATCCGTACGACTGACTTAATATCTTCCCATGTAACTAAAAAACCTTTAGGCCCAGAGCCAACTCCCTAACCCTCAAGGCAGGCCATGCCTCATCCTCTGCAGTTCTGGTTTATCCCAGAATACTTTGGAGAGTGAGGGGTGCCTCCACTGACAGGGCCTGGTGGGTAACATGAACGAGTCAGGCAGGCCAGCTGTTGGCTCTGAGGCTGGGAGAGCTGCCCGGCTCTAGCCTGGGGCCAAGGACAAGGAGAGCAGTGGCTGATGTTTCAGATTTTCCAAGTGGAACCCGGAATTCTTAAATATGAAATCTCCCAATTTTTAAACGTCAGAAACTAGTTTTAACAATGTGGGCCAAAATGTACTTTAGTTTATGATCTTTGGGGTGCCTGAATGGGGCAAAAGAAAGAGTGATTTGCTCGTCTGATGTGGAGAGAAAACCAAGGTATGCTCTCAGTCCTTGCCTGCTCTCTGAGCACTGAGGCGTCCCTGCTTCCAGCCGCACTAAACAGGTGCTGGCCGGGTGACACAGACAATACGACCCTGTCTGACCTTTCCCTCCCACTTGCCATCTGGCTGCTTCTAAGGGCAACACTTCTTGGACAAAGCTGGCTGACTGCTAGTGTTTCCTGGTCACCTTCTGTTCTCCCAAGCTGTCAGTGGAGGGACTTTCAAGGCTGCAAAGAGAACTGACTGCAAGACCATTTACTCCAGTGTGTTTGTTCTAGGAAATCTCAGCCTTGGAGGTTCTTGGAAAGGTTGATTCTTGGCCTCTGCAGCTCCTTCAGGAGAATATTTGGGGGATATGTTAGGATATTCTGACGTATTGCCAAAGACTGAGAACTGTTGATCTGATCCAACCCTGACTTAGTAAGTGGAGCCCAGAGAGGGGAGTGACTTTCCCAAGGTTACACAGTGAGCTTGTAGGAGCGAGGAAGCCCAGGCGCTCCAGGGTGCCAGTTGTCAGAGCCCCTACCATTTTGGCCTTTGTGCCATAATTTCAACCGAAGTACTATTTCCCAAAATCTCCAGTACTTGGTTTTCCTAAGACAAGTCCAGTGGTTTGTTGGCCTCGTTCTCTTTTTTTCTCCTTACCCTCTGTGCTCAAGGCTTTGGATTCTGATGATATTTTGGTTTCAGATGGTTAAGTGGAAAATAGCAGGGTGGCATCCAGAAGGAATCTCCTGCCTACCAGTCTAGAAGTAATGGTCAAATGAAGGTAAGGTCAGGACTAAGCGAGAGGTTTGCACAGAATGCACAGACAGGACTAAGCCAGGAGAGTGTCTCGGGGTCGGGAAATAGGTAGGCACCTTCAGAGAGCATATAATGCCACCCAAACCAAGCAACCAGAAAAGGAATAGCACACACTTACACACACACAAACACACACACGTATTAGCATGTGACAGTGACCTTTATCTTGCCTGCCTGCCTCACTATATTAATCCCAAGGCATGCATATGTCCCATTGGTACATTTCAATAAATGTTAGAGGTAAGTTCCCACCTATTTTGCATTTGGAATGTCCCTAAAAGCTCTGGGTTAAAAGTATGTTCCCCCCGAGTGGCACTATGGGAGGTATGGAAACTAAAACGTGGGGCAAAGTGGGAGGTCTTCAAAGGGAACTCTGTTCTTTCCCTCTTTTCCTTTTTTCACTTCTTGGTCATGAAGTAAGCAGCTTTGCCCCACTATATGCTGCTTGCCATGATGTCCTGCCTCACTCCAGACCCCAAAATTCCAGATCCTGGACTAAAATCTCTGAAACCAAAGCTAAATAGAATTCTATGTGAATCAATTATTACAGGTATTTGCTCCAGTGATGGAAAGCTGACTAACATTTCCTGAAGAAATATCATCCATTTAGAAATCTCATTCATTTAGATCAATGCTTAGTTAGAATACACCAAGAACTGATCTCATCACTTGATTTGGAAGTATTTAAGCCATGTGCAGCAGGCTCTAAAGATGAACAGAAGAGAAAAGCAGAGCCTGCCCTCAGCAGAGCCATGATTAGGCAGACATTAAGGCAGATCAGTGACAATAGTCACCCAAGACTCAGAGGACAGACTTTCCGAAGGAGGCAATGGCTGATTTGTTTTCTTAGGTTCAAATTTTAACAGTTTATGGACTTATGTCACAAGTAAATCATTAAGCAGAGCTTACAGAAAACGTGGCCTATATGATATTCATCACTGAGGTGAAGTCTGAGATTATAGGGCAGGGCTGTACTGTTATTGGCCCAAATAGCGATCCAGTGAAAGGAGTTCCCCCATATCCTGTGTAACTTGAGGTTGACAGTCACATAGTCTCAAAGGTACAGAAAGCAAACTTTTGCATGCTGAACTATCAGAGAAGATATGAAAGATTTTGATGGTTAAGAAGAAAAAATGTGGCAGAGCAGGCAACCCAGGACCGCATCACAATTACAGTCTGAGTCTCTGCCCTCCTTGCACCCACGGCAGACAGAAGCTCCTCACTCAGAAGCCCTGGGGACTGCTCTCACTGGGGTTCGCATGTGGGCCCTCCCTGTGCGTGCCCTGTGCCGAGTGAGTGAGCACTCCAAAAGCTGCTGGTCCCACTGATCGAATCCGTGCTTCACTTGTGCCCAAAATCCCTGGGGGGTCACGGGCACAGGCAGTCTGTGACTGCTCTTTGAGTGCCCCAGGTCTGGCTCCTGCGCACATCCTGAACTGACCATAAAGCAGAACCAGGCAGGCTGAGACCCCCTCCCACCGCCATGGTTCCCAGCTGAAACTCATGGAGAGAGCCAGGTATTTCCCATCTACTTCCTGAGGGCAGAGCGGGTGACCCAGGACCCCACCGCAATTACAGTCTGAGTATCTGCCCTCCGTGCATCTGCGGCAGACAGGAGGTCCTCACTCAGAAGACCCGGGGACTGCACTCACTGGGGTTCCTGTGTGGGCCCTCCCTGCACAGGCCCTGCACT